GTGTGTGTGTGTGTGTGTGTGTGTGTGTGTGTGTGTGTACTCTTCTGGATATGGCAGTTTCTTATTCTTTTCTGTGTTAACGCCCAGTATGCGTCTTCGCTGAACTGACAGAATTTCTCTCTCTTTGTTGTTGACATGTTAGTGATGATATACATCTGGAATGAACTCAGAGACGTTTATTAAGTCTGGATGGTGCTGACATTGGCACGGCAGGGAACCTTACAACTGACACCTGACACGAGGAGTGAACGGGAGTAGGCTACTGACTCAACACTTGAATTTAATAGTTGACGCTTGGCATTGTTCCAGCAGGTGATCCAAAAGTCCTGACATCTGACACGGCAAGTGATTTTGAGAGGTGACTTCTAACTCAATAAGTAATCGTAATGTAAGATATGACACTAGATAGTGACACAACAAATGAACGTAAGATATGACACCAAGGAAACGTAAGGTCTGATATCTGGCTGAAAGAGTGAACGTAAGGATGTGACATTGTCGTTGTACTTCAGATGAACGTCTGAGCTGACGGTACTAACTCTCGTCTTACAGAGGTAGAATCAGTACCTGACTTCCTAATACACGACTGGGAATCACTGGCCACTTCTACATCACTCTGTCAACAGGCCCTGCTTGCTGGAATAACCCATTTACTGATATAACCCAGTTTTAATTTTGCTATAAATTATTACTCGCGCTAACTCGCTCTTTACAGTGGATACAATGTTTACAATGTTATATTACAGTGGATACAGTGAAACAATGCAGTCAGTAACTGGTGGAACATTATTTACTGAGAGAGTTTTGTTCAATAACTAGACCAAATGTACTATTTTTTGTGTATATAAGGTTTAATTCATTAAGGTTCTAAATCCGAGTTTATCGAATTTCCTTATTTGGTTAGGTTAGATTAGATTAGGTTAGATTAGGTTAGGTTTTAACTCCGAGTCATGAATTTCTTTACTTGGTTGTCAGTTCTCAAATAGCATTCTCACCGGACAAATATTCAGTAATTCATTTGCCGTAAATATCACCAATTCAGGAACTGGTTTAAAATCTCTTTATTGAAATTAGAACATATACAAAGTTCTCCTTAAATGCCAAGAAGAAAAATCGTCATCTGTTGTTTATTTAGACCTAGACTCTCGAAGTTGAATTAAGTGCTCGCTATGTGTGTTTATATCGTCACAAGTCTCCTTAAGCTAAGGGACAAGGCGTAAGTTCATTAGCTGCATATGGACAAGTGTCTACAGCCTACAGCACTCTGCGTAATATATGCCATAGCCAGCGTGCCACCCCAGGATACAATCACCCACAGTATTAATTGTGGCAATTTATCCCACTAATGAATAACCATTTGATACGGTGCATAAAGTGAACTAATATGTTCCAATCAGTTGATAGTAGTGAGGGCCAGCCTAATGGTTCTGGCCTTTTACGGTGGTAGTGTGGAGCAGCTAGGCTGTTGTGGAGGGGTAGAAGGAGGTGCAGGTGACACCGTCCAGGCGGGTGGAGGTATACCTCAACTCCAAGAAGAGAAGGAGAAGGTAACACATCTCTCGAGGAGGAAATGTATGTGTGAGTAACAGTGCTACCAGGTGGAGGAGGAGGAGGAGAATTGAGGGCGAAAAAAGAGGAATGGGAGAATGTTCGGGAAAACGGTGGAGGTAAGACGCCTAGAAAGGGGAGACGAAGAAGAGAAGAAAAATACTAACATAGACAAAGAAGAGACGTTGACATGGAACAGAGAAAGAGACAACAGAAGACAGGAGTTTCTCGAGTAATTAGAATTGAAGAAAATGTCTTGGGAGATGATGACCATAACCCAGAAACTGTAAGTGAACGATGAGGCAAAACTAATTACCATATGAACCGCGCTGATGGATGGTGTATTAAGTTCAGGAGAGTAAAGGACAATATTAACCTAATTAATGCGCATGTGGTAAGGAGGGTGTTGTGATAGGCATGGCACACTGTTAGGGAAGACCGTGGCACTGTGGTGGAGAGGATGTGGCACTGTGGTGGAGAGGATATTGGGGAGGTAGTGAGGGGGGACCATGGGGGACTTCACTACAGTCCTTGTCTATTATAACAGTTTCTCTCGTGTTTAATCTTTTCACTAAATATTCCTGAACATTTTCAAAGATTTAGTGTTAAACCTGTATGTATTGATATTGTTTCTTTTAATCTTAGTTTATATATTTAGTTTTACTCTCAAGTGACGACAGAAATAATACTGATAGAAATATTCGTGTGAAGACCATTACTCTTTTAGTGAGAAGTTAGTGCTTATTATATTTATTAACTCGGCTACAGTACGTCTCTCTCCCAGGCCGCCAGCCAGCCCTGACAGACACTCCCCACAGGAATGCTTAAACTAAAAGACCCGAATAGCGTTTATCGCCGAGAAATGAACCAATAAAGATGTATGTCTGGAAGGGTCAAATAAAACCTTTTGTTTCGTCACCTGAACCGAGGCTGGGCAGGAGCAAACAGGGTCATTACATCAACAGTTGGGATCACAGGGGCTGCCCGCTGTCATTGGTGTCCAGACTGATGCTCCTCCACACAATGGTTTGGAAATGGCTTGATTGTTTCTCTGATATTACTCTCTATTCATTGGGGGAAGTTTTTGTGCTGGTATTATGGCGTTTTATTACCTTATTGCCCCCGACACTCACTGTAAACGGTGCTGGACAAAAGGCGGTGTTTTTTGTCCCCCGTGTTCAGTACAATGGGTGTGTATTATAATGCAAATAGTGATATTCTGTTTGCATGGTTGTGCATCCTAAACGCACTGTAGCTCCTACGCTTCTGTTTTGAAGATGCGAAATAACCACCATTATTATTATTATAATTGTTGTACTTAATTTCATTACAGTTGGGGGAGTATTTGAAGTGCGTTGTGCGTGTGTATTATTGTTTTATAAAGAAAATATAACGTTACGATGTACAGATAGTGGCGCCTGATATTTTGGGTCAGAAAATGTAGAATAAATAATAATAATAATAATAATAATAATGAGATCTGCCCATACTTGGGTTAACAAAAACATGGTGTTGTATTTATTAGCATCTGTTGTGAATTTTTTTTTTTATTCTTTCGCGTTGAAATTTTGTTGTTGTTCATATGTTTGTCTACCATTTTATCTTTTTATTTCTATTCGTTTTGTAAGTCTCGCTTGAACCAGCTGGTGTTTTAACGATAGGGATGTACTATATTGCAACCGTAGATTGATTTCTCTGCAGACACCGGGCGCTGGGTCTATAGTGTCACCAGCGTATGAAGTGTGTTGATCCGTCTTGTTGTTCTTGGGATTCTCTTTACAGTTTAAAGAGGAGGTATTGATCTAGTGAGTTACTTATATTACCTGTAATTCTCTTCGTGAGGCTTCTGCCACCATTACACAGAACCCACCAACACCTACACTGACTGCTCTCTCTCTCTGAATGAATCCGACAGTTAATGCCTAAACCTAACCTAACCTAACACCACCTACTCTGACCTCTCGCTCCATGAATTAATCCGACAATAAATATATTAATGCATATTCCTGCATCTTTAGTTGGTGTCAGTATTCAAAAACTGTTCGTGTGTGGAGCTCGATGTCCTCTTAGGCCTTACCATTCACGTTTAACTTATAATAACACTTGAAAGTAATATTGATTTAATCTTTGTTTAACTAATTTATTTTTTTATTTATTCATCTATAAGAATATTATATAATAAGACTTAATATTGACCACAAGTAACAAAGTCAATCCACTCTTATTACTACCCGTCTTAATTATCCATGATGTACTAAGACTGTCATTGTTATACATATAGTAGTATGTACCTCTGATCAGTCAACACAGAACAGAACTTAGTGGTTTGTGTATGGTGAGGGACTAGTTTATCAGGGGCTTTTGTGTGTGTGTCGTGAGGAGGCCAGGATATGATGAGCTACCAACGTATAATGGAGACTTGTGTGTAACTAATAATATTATATAGTGTGTGACTACTGTATGGTGAGGGTAAGACGGTAGTGTGATATCTCGTATAGTGAAGAATTAGGGAGTGACGTGACTGAGAGCAGAAATTTAATGAGGTATGGTGCGACCAATGAATAGTGAGAGTGCGGTGAGAGGCCATCGAGTGAGAGGAGATGACTGCTGTATCCGGTGTGACTACCTGAGGCTACTCTCTCAGCTATAAATGTTTACAACCCTTCACAGATGTTCTAGTTGTTTTTTCTTCTTGACAGAGTAGCCCTTGTGTGTGTGTGTGTGTGTGTGTGTGTGGGTGGGTCTCTGGCTCTCACCATCCCCAGTTAGAGTTAACCTTATGGTGTCCAGGCTTAGATTGAGTTCATACTTGTTTTCTATTATTCAACATTATTATTATCAGTGGCAGCAGCAATAGTAGTAGGAGTAATACTGTTGGTTATTGTATTATTATTGTTATCGATTTGTTATCATTTATTCGATAACTTGATAAATTTACTATTCTAAATATTTATCTCCAAAGTTACTGTTTCATGGCACGAGGGTGATTTACTCCAGCGAATAATTATTACTGTTTTACTTCGCAATATTGTGCTTTATTTTTATTTTTAAATTACTATTAAAAAGTTAAGATGATAAAGACATTGTTATTTATATGTATATAATTATTTAAATGGTATTTTTATACACAACTTATATTGTTGTTATTGTCATTATGGTCACGTTCGTTGCTGTGTTCATCATTAGTTTTCTCCGTTCTTATTCTTGCAATATGTTCTCATTATAATATTTATCGTCATCTGCTTCATTATTGGTAATTTATTTTACTTTATTCCTGTTATCCTACTCGTTTGTGTTATTATTTTATTGGTAGTAGAAGTAATATTGTAATCATTAGTCATCTCAACTGGCATGACATACACACAAACATAGATATATAGAACTGAACTTAACAGTCACCTCCAGTATGTACCAGAAAATTACACTTCACAACACAGGACAAATAATATATGTTTACTTCATTGGATTTTATTTTACCATTAACAACAGAATCAACAACGTAGATGAGTCAACAAATAACCTTAACATAATATATCACAGACTGTAGGGAACTTAGAACTAGCATCGGGTGGGTCGCTTCCTGGTGTCCTCAGTAAGGATGTGTTTAATATAACATTCCTCAGTAACTGGAGGTTATGAACTGAGACAGGTCTACTATTTCTACACAAAGAGGAGATTTACATGTTAGCATTTGCAGATAATATAAAGTAAATAACACAGTGCGAAATATACCCATTGTGTTTTCTTGAGGAGTCTTTTGGTATAACCTGATGTACTCACGTGTTTGTAATAATCCTTAAAACAGAATTAGTTAGTGTGTGCTCAGTTTATAGGAAGTATTGACTTAGTATGATGCGGATAGTTTAAGTAGAGAGTGTCCGAGGCTTTACTTGTCCTGACATTAAAATGTTAATGTAACACAAAGGTGAACCTTGAAAATTCTACAAATTATAGTTCAATTATAAAATATAGACTTCAGTCAAATAAATAAGTGGTGCATTATATGGGACTAAGTGAACTTGCTAATGAAAAATGGTCACTAGATTGTATACACATAATATATGATGAACAGGAGCCGGACCTAAGTATCTCTCTTGAGCAGCTCCGCCAGGGCGGTGATGTACGTCTGTGCCATCTGCAGCGTCTCGAACTTGGAGAGTTTTCTGTCGTTCCCGAGCGCCGGCACCACCTCCCGGAGTCTTTCAAATGCGTCGTTAAGCCCGTTCATCCGCCGTCGTTCCCTCGCGTTCGCTTGAATTCGTCGCTTCTTCTTCACTTCACCGTTCACAAACTTAGGCTGTCTCCGTCGTATTCTGAGAGGTTTGCGGTCGAAAATCCCCTGGTTATGGACGAGCGTCTCCGTGCGTATCTCCAGCTTGTGAGGTGCCATAGGCTGGTAGGCGGAGGGCACCATGGATTGTGTGTTCTGGGGAGCTCCACCGCTGGGCCAAAAGTTCTCATAGTTAACAGGAGTGAAGGCGTTATTATTCTCACTTGCTAGCGTTGTCGGTCCTTGGAATTCTGGCGTGGGCTGAAATGCTTGCCCCCCGGGAGGTTCAGAGCCATTAAAGTAGTTTCTGCCGTCACTGTAATAGTTTGTCGAAGTGAAGGCATTGGAGGTGGGAGTGGTGAGGTCTGTGTAGACTGGCGTGCTTGTGTTGAGGTTGTGGGGGCAGTGCTGGTTAGCTGGGCTGGGTGGCGCGTCATCACTGCCCGGGCTGGCGGAGGGCGTGTCGCAGCCGTCACTATACGCGTCCAAGTACTCCCCTTGACGCAGATCACTTCCTACTATCCCGTTGAAATCGTCAGTGCACAAATCACTGAACGACGACGGGTTTGTCCACCTGAACACTCGTGTATCAAGAGCCATGATACTTCCTTGTGAGTCCAGTTTATGTATACTTTTAAGTCACCGATAAGTTTCTGTTAGGACTAGATTATCCTGCGTCAGTGTCACTACTGTCCCATGACTCACAAGACGCCTCACAGGGTTCACAGTGTGGCGGGTGTACACAGTGCTGGCGGGCAGGAGAGGACGTGAGCCCCAGGCAGCTGCTTCCGTGCTACTGAGCGCTGGGCTCCCACAAGTCTGTCGACCGTGAGGGGGGGACACCTTATTTTTCCCTGGGATAGGCATCCAGAGTTGCCATATAATATTAAAATTTTAAGGTTTGCATTATAGATTTTTTCCAAATTTATTTAAATTCCCATCTTTATAAAGAATAACACTAGCACAAGACATTGAGGGCAACAAACAACAGTGTGTAATGAAACAAAGAATCTTGGGAAAAAATAAACGTGAGCGGAACGGTAAGTCTGCTGTCTACCTGGAGTCAGTCACGTGACTTCTCCCGGCCAATGACTGGAGAGTGTTAGTGACGTCATGTGTCGATTCAGTAAAGAAAATTACTGTTTTAAGGGCTAATGGCTCACGGAATTAATGGCTGGCTATGGAAACATCATTTGGTTGAGGTACTTACAATTTAAGTTCTTTCGATGCACTTAGTAGACTGTGTTATGATATACATCGTGAGCTAACTAACTGACTCACGGTGTTCTGCGGTGATGTATATCAACGTTTCTATATTTTCTCTGTTTGTTATTGTTTTCTTTCATTGCTTGGAAGAAAGTGGATACCACTTGTCCTCTGTGACGGTCTAGTGCTCCTTCCCTTTACTGTTTAAGTCTGGGATTTTTACCTTACTTTCATCTTTCTTCTTTTCACACACACACACACACACACACACACACATATATATATATATATATATATATATATATATATATATATATATATATATATATATATATATATATATATATATATATATATATATATATATATATATATATATGTGGGTGTGTGTGTTATTAACATTGAACACACACACACGAGGTTGATGACCTTCCTAACAGATGCTCTTAAAACCCAAGACTTGTTGTATAATACGGAGAAACTTGACAGAGGACAGAGGTGTTTACAACGACAGCCAGAAGGCAATAATACTTGGGATCAAACGAGTAACGTGGTTATCAGCTTAATTCTATGGACCTCTGTGAATTTCCTCCTTCAGATAGTAAGGAGTTTGTTGTAGGAAGTTAGACCATCTGTTTTTCTTTTTCTTTTTCTCTCTCTCCCGATCACCCCCCTCCCTCCCCCCTCTCTCTCTCTCTCTCTGCTTGAACACTCACCCTCTCTCACGCCAGGAAGGTGTCAGGTTATGATAATGAGACAAAAATGAAACCTCAAGTGAGAATTGAGTTTTGGGAAGGTTTGTCAGGCATCAGAAATGTTTGAAAGTAACAAAGTAAAAAAGTATCGGTAAAAATGTTGTTATCCTCTGCTTTTTTATTTTTTTTATTTATTGTTACCTTTGGTGTCTCCCCTTCTTGGGTTGTTGACCTCAGGACCGGTGTTATATTACACTCCTCGCCCTCACTAACACTCATTTATCCTCTTGTATCATTTGCATGCGCTTCGTTAGTTATAAGAATATAAAATAATAAGGAGTCTGCAATAGGCCGGTTGGTCTGTGCATGGCAGCTCCTGTCGAGAGTTACTACCACTCTCTATCATCCATGAATCTATCTAATTTACTCCTTTGCCTAATCATATACATTATTCAAACATATACAACATACCTAGAGTCGTTATCGTAAAGTGAAGTAATGTATGACTCAGTTGCCGTGAAGAGTGAGGGCGGGACCGCTTCAGTGTCAACCCCCATCTGGACCACTTGCCTGGACGAGCTGTGACCACCTCGACTCAACCCGCGGCGAAAACTCTGTGGGAGGAGCACACCCTTCCTGGCTGACGCCTTCCCCCCAGTCACGTGACAAACACTTCTTCTCTGAGCTATGAAATGAAACTGGCATTTCTTAGGTGTACCTCGTAACACATGTGAGATAAATTTACTTTGTCACCGCAATTTGATGTGCTTTACCAAAATACAGTACTTGTTGTTTACCCTATGATTAGATGCAAAGTTTAAAAGAATGATAATATATATTTGAATAATGTATATGATTAGGCAAAGGAGTAAATCAGAGAAATTATAAACACAACTTGACCCGTAAAACTATCGCTACGAGGAAATAATTTTGTACAAGGGAGATATGACCACATACACAAAACCTTTTATAAATATATAGACACGTGGCCACAAATACAACCTACAAGTAAACACAGTGAGAGTGTCTGTGTGTGTAATTACTGTAGCCATTCCACGATCTCCTTCGAGTTAAAACCGATGGAGACTTAATAAAAAAAAGTCCCCTGTGTTGTTCACCATAACGATGAACAGTATTACCCTCGACTGCGTTATCCCGTCCTATGGTGTGACAAAGTTTATGGTTCTCTATAATGTGTTTGTACCAGCGTCTCCATGTCACTTACTTTCTCTTGCGGTTTCCGTCTTTGGGACCTACAGTACACACGTCTGGAACATGTTCAGAATTAAATACTATAGGTATGTTTTCGTGTGTGTGTGTTTGTTTGTTTGTTTTTACTGTTCAGATCGTGCTACTATACAAGCAAATTATTATTATTATTTTTGGGCGTATGTTAGTCTACGGGTTTAACACTCCTGCATCGGTTTAAGTCATCCAGTTTATCATCCGGTTTAACAATTCCTCCATAGGACCTTAAAGAAAATCATTGTTAGGTTAGGTTAGGTTAACACTGTTCCCCATCTTACAGGTTCCCTACCGTAAACATTAATCTGTATGTTCACTGTTCACCACCAATGTACTGTATGTAATAAGTCATATATGTCCAATGTATATTTTCAACCTTCGGGCTGCAGAACTTTTTCAATAAACCGTTTATTATTATTATTATTATTATTATTATTATTATTATTATTATTATTATTATTATTATTATTATTATTATTATTATTATTATTGTTATTGTTATTATTATTATGATTATTATTATTACAACACAACTGGCCCTCAGCTACAGGTGTGTGGGTGATGCAGAGTGACGAATGAATGAATAATGAATAGATGTAGATACTGGTGATGACAGAGAGGTAATGAATGGGTGAATGGCGGAGAAGTGAAGTGATGGTTGGATGTATAGTGGATGAGTTAGGGGTGGAGATAGATGTATGAGTGATAGATGAAATGGTGGATAGATGGATGAAGTGAGTTGGATGGATAGGTAATGGGCAGTGGAAGGGAGTTTGGATGGCGGTTTCTGGCACTGTCCGCTATGAGTGGTTGGGTAACAGATAGATGTAGTGATGGATGGATATACATGGCGATGGTTAGATGAATTATTATTATTATTTTTATTATTATTACAAAATATTGGGATTATTATTATATATTATTATTGTTGTTTGATACGATGTCATAGGAAGAGGATGTCATGTACTGGAGTGAGTGGAGGAGAAGGTGAATAAGATAGTAATTATGTAGAGGAAGAGCTGTAATTAAGATGAAGAGTGGGAATAAAGATTGATTGAGAGGAGACGACTAATGTACTCCTGGCCTGGACTGATATACGAAGAGGTCGGGTTTCAAGTCAGCAATTCACGTATAATTACGAGAGCCTTTGTGATTAATATTTTATATAATGTAACTATTGAATTTATTTTTTCTAGTAAAATTCTAGTTACTCGGTGTCTGTGCTGTACGCTATAAATCCGCTGTGTGTTTTAGCAGGACCTCACTGAAATTCCTCTGTTGAACAAAGACAAACAAAATTGCGCCAGTGTTTCGCCACAAAGGCTGCTACAGACAAGTCTCAGTAAACAATAGCGGCGCTTTACTCCTCTATGGTCGAAAGGTCGCGCCATAATCCCGTCTATGACACTAAGCTTCCCAAGACGATCTTCACGCACCGGGATTTTATTACTCGTGTCTTTTTGTGAAATTTTCTTCTACGCGAGCATCTTTTTTTTTTTTGCATCATTCGTCTTTAAGGTAAACATACGTCGTGCTTCATACTACAAACACACATTCTGGATAAGGATATACAGTATATCACAGAGGTTCCTGAGATGAATGAAGCGATGGTCGTACAAGGAACATTAACACGAGACCTGATAAACTGTAGGTTTGGCAAGTACCTGGCAGGTGTCTGGGAGTGACCTGACCCCGCGTCTTCACACGGGTCACTGGGAGGTCAGGCGTGGTAATTGGCCATCACTCTTAATTGTAACAGCTCACTTCCTCAATAATTCTATTCATAATGGAACGGTATTTACACCACAACCAGATCCACATGTTGGCTATATTGAATTTATTTTGATGTCTATAGTTACGGCTGTGTGTCAGGATCTGTGTTGTAATTTTGTGCCCTGGTGAAACATTTTGTTTGAGAGTCCCAAGTAATGAGTGACTGAAGGAGTGATTAACTTACACTAGCCACCAGCGCCCACCATATCACTCTGTCACCATCACCACACCCCATCCATACCTACCACACACCCTCGATCACTACCACACACTTCGTAACTATCACCACACATCATCACCCCCTCCATATTTCACCCACTGTCAACACCACTCTACTCACAATCACCCCTACATACTTGACATCAACTACATTTATCACTACCACCTCATAGTCTACCTACCTGTCTATCACCACCACCACCACCACCACCTACCACCACTTCACATCCGCTGCTACCACATACCTACCACCACGATTACCCAGTACCACCACCACCACCACCACTACCTGGGACACCAACAGGTAATCCCAGGTAAAATAAAACAAGCTTTCGAAAATCCTAAACTGACAAATGAGGTTTAGTTGGCCATAAAACCTCATCAATGACCAACACAATGCAGCTGACGGACTCACTTGAGGTGGAGGAATGAGAACACATTCAAAGTGCATATTGGTGTTTAATTTTGTTCATTTTACTCTTTAATGGCCTTCTATTGTGAGTATATGACAGGAGAATAGTAATAAAGAGAGGATTAATTTTACGCTGAAGGACCAGACTCAGTACCAACCAAGACTAAAGCTTTTCAGGAAAGATTGTTTTCATTGAGTGTAAGTCATTACTTATGTTGTTTACTGGTGTTTTCCCCCGTTGGTGAACGTGTCGGTCGTAGCTGCCCAATGACGTG